AAGGAAGGAAGGAAGGAAGGAAGGAAGGAAGGAAGGAAGGAAGGAAGGAAGGAAGGAAGGAAGGGAGGGAGGGAGGGAGGGAGGAAGGGAGGGAGGGAGAGAGAGAGGGAAAGAAATTCAGGAACCAAATGAGAAATAACATTTTTTTAAATATACCTTATGTCCTATATATTATATATTCTTCCTATATAAACTTATAAACTACTTTTTGAATGCTAAATTTAGTGTTTTAAGTTTTTATAATGACAATCAATGTCTGCATATTTGACATAACATAAAAAGATGAGTTTCATGATGCCAACAGGTGGAGTGCAACATCATCAATTACAGATTGCTTTGCCCAAGATGATATTATGTGATACAAATGGCCTGTTTAAGTCTCCCAAAGACATCATCTTGGCCTGGTGTGATTTATTAAATAAACATTGATCTTGGAGCTGGAATATTTGCACTCAAGCTCTGGCTTAGTGACTCACTAGCCGTGTGACCCTAGAAGAGACACTAAATTTTTTTACTACGGAACTCCTGACAGTAGAATGGAAATGATACTAATTATCTTGCAAGTTATTATTACTTTGAGAATCAAGGGAGGCGATGCATATTAAAATATGTCATCAAGTTCAAACCTCTTCAGGAATATGACCCTACTCTTAATTCTACCCTCTTTCAGTTCTCCTCACATCAGCAAATGCCAACTCAATCCTTCTACAGCTTAGGTGCAAAAGCCTGAAGCCATCCTTTACTCCGCATTTTCCCTCTCACCCCACATTCATCCATCAGCGTGTCCTGTCAGTCCCACTTCCAACATATATCCAGCATTTGGTTGCCCCTCACCACCACCAAGATCACTACCACCCCAATCCAGTGATCATCGCCTCTTGCCTGGACCAATCCAACAGTATTCCCACAGGTTTCCAGTCCCCTTGCCCTTCTAGCCTATTCTTCACAGAGCACGGAGAGCCTTCATTTGTTACATGTCAGACCATGACATTCCTATGCTCAGCACCCTCCCACGGATTCTATTTCACTGTTTTGTAACTTACAAGGTCCTAAAAGTTTTGGCTCTGCCCTGTTTTGCATCTCTTCTATACCGTCCCCTTCTCTGGCTCTGCTCCACCCTCACTGGACTTCCCGAAGCTTCTCAAACATGGCAAGTGGATGAGTGCGCACTGTGTCCTCTGCCTGGAACCCATTTCCCCAATTAGTGAGCCATGCTTCTCCTAAGAAGCCCTGTAGGTGTCTGTCAGATGTCACCTCCTCAGGTAGTGTCTGTCCTAAATGAAAACCTCCATCCCCATCGTTAGCTTCTTGCCCTGCTCTGTGTTTCTTCACAGCTCTTATCAGTAGATATTGTCACATACTTTGTTTAGGGGGAGGATCCGGGAATCTGACTGCCCCTCACTGGAACGTCACTGCCATGACAGCATGCCTAGTATGGAGGATGAATCTGTTCCCCTATAACAGGCACTGTTTTGAGTGCTGTGGACCTAGCCCTGCACCAAACAAGAGTCCCTTGTCCTGCCTGCCATACTTCCCAACGGTTAAATGAAAACAACTGCATTCATTCATGGTAGCCAGGGGAGATGCTTGATGTCCGAAGGTAAATGATGTCCAGCACGGTGTAAAGAAAATGAAAGAGTACAAAGAGAATTGTATTTGACCAAGGCACCAAGAAATCATGGCACTAATTCGTATACTTGTCTTGTGAGCTTAGTTTGGAAACCTGTTGCAATGCTGACAGTCCCCAGTGATTCTCATGAATATGACGCAGACTGTAAAGAATGGGATTCAAAACAAACAAAGTCTCCTACCTGATTCCCTTACCTTTCCCTCTTTATCTCCTTTATACCATGTCTGGTATCTGAATATAACCAGAACTCATCTTCATTTCATTGTTATAAAATACAAATGGCAGAGGTAAGGGTTATATGCATGGGGAGATGATGAAAGGAGCACAGATTCAGGGTCAGGAGGCCTGGATTTTAAACCCAGCACTACCGTGAATTCAGTGCTGGAGTGAAATTATTCAAATGCTATAATAAATGCTCACTTGCTATGCTTTTTACATAAGACAAGATATCTCCAGCAGCCTTCCTAACTTTGTGAAGCCACTGCAGGTTTACATATCATCTCTACAAAAAAGTCCTGTAATGAAGTATAATCCAAGGTGTATTACAAAAATAAAAATAATGGCTCAAGTTGAATGGATAAGCAGCAGCATCAGCACTGCATCTTCTGTCTTCAACACAGAAGCTCTGATACCTATTTGCCATCTCCAGATGCCCAGGAGATGGGAGCTTCCCGGGGGAGGAACCTCTTTTCCAATTCAGAAAAAAAAATATTCAAGGGGAAACACAGGTGGAGTTTTAGTGTATGAATCAGTTGCCCCAACAATCTGAACTTCAGTAAGAATTTGTAAGTAAATAATTAAATTTTATACCCATTAGTCAAA